GCCCCATTGGTAGTCGCGAATGCCGGTGTGATAGAGGCCACTGTAGCCGTAGCCGTACTTCTGTTTCATCAGCAAACGCATAGGACATAGGACTCGCTCGTTCCACCAAGAGAAGATTGGCCACGAAGTGCTTGCACTCATCAGTGTCGATAAGACCAAGCTTCTCCTTAGCCTTCCCAATCCGAAGGTTCTCGAACGCGTCCTCGTTCTTTCCCGCAGCATCCTTTGCGGCCTTGTTCCACTCCGGATCGGCGACGTTCTGATGCCTTGATCATGAAGTTCGCAGTCATCATCTTTCTTGGGGGAGATGTCTGGCATGGATTCCTCACCCTGTGGTGAGCTTTCCTTCGCCGTGTCGTCGGCCTTGGACTCTTCCTCTTGACCCATCTCTGGTTTCCGATACCTCTCCATGCGGAGAGCCTTCGGCAGGTTCGACTTTCACCCCAGATCCCTCTCCCTGTGGGGAGCTTTCCGGAGCTTCCGTCTCCACTACACACATCAGGCGCTTCTGCTCCTCGACCTTGTGGGAGTAGTCCGGATCCTCAGTCTTTGGCATCCGCTGTCGAGGGTCGCCATCCCTTGGAGGTTTGATTCCGAGATTCCAAGGTAGCCGCCCGCGAGGCGTTGTCGATAATTTCCGCTAGGCCTCCTGAATGCTTGCTGCGGTCCATGTATGGGCTGCTGTACCCATTTGAATAGACCTCTCGACGAGATAGTTCCCCTGGAGCTTCCCCATCTCCGGAGAGAGGATGTTGCAAGCAGGATGCCCAATTGATTGTACTCTCCTCCCAACGCATCTCGCATACTGGTCGACAAGGTGTGCCAGGGTGTGACCTGGACGGATCGTCATATGCAGACAACATTCGCTGGCCGCTGGAGCCTACACAGTGCAAGAGACCGTGCGCAAAGAGATGCCACAGGTTTGTTCTTGCCTTGCGAAGAACCTCGTTGAGCTCCTCCTGCTGCTGGGCCTTGTGCGCGTCAATCTTCCCGTGAACGGTGTCACCAGACTGATAAGCGTACTTTATGGCCCCTTCGGACTGCGTGGCAGTGGCATGGCGCTCCTTCTCTTCCTTGAGCTCATTCTCACGGATGAGCTTTTGAAGAGCGGCCGCGTCGAGTGTGGGTACCACTCCCTGAGGAGAACCTCCCACACTTAAAAAGCACCGGCATCCTGAGATACCTTTGGCCTCTTCTTGGAAGCTGGCCGAGGCTTCGGATCCGAGCTGCTTCCCGGTACCTCTCCCTGAGGAGAGCCTCCGGATGCAGAAGCAGATGCCGAGGCTCCCTCTTCATGTGAAGTGCCTACCCCGGCAGAATTTTCCTCTTCTCATGAGGCAGCCCGCCAGGATCCTTCGCATGTGGCGGTCGGTAAAGGTACGTCAAATACATCGGCGAATCGACATATGAGAGCACCACGCCGTTGTCTGTGAGATACAGCTCATGGCCACGGCTCAGGAAGCTCCCATAGTCAAGCTTGGCGTAGAAGGTGTACGAGCCGTACTTGATGACAGTCCCAGGCCTTGGAGAAACCTCTCCAGCCGCATAAACGAGATGGCTCTCCTGCGCCTCTGAGTTAAACTGTAAGACGCTGCATAGTCATTCTATACATTCTATGTGCCGTAGCCTAGGCTCTCCAAAGGTGTGGGCGCTCTATGTACAAATCTTAACACCCTGCCTCGAAGTCCTTGTGCTGTACTGTTGAACAACGGTCTCCAACGGTCGGGCAAACCTCCTGCCCAATCGTTAGCTTTCAAGGCTTTGCCTCTCCAGCTTCTGGGTTAAACATTCCATGCAACCCTCCTTTTTGCCTTCCCCCAATTCCGGGGTTTGTCAGACCGTACATGTCCTGACTTTCCGTACAGTAACAAGCACTTCGTCCTAGTGAAACAAAACACTGTCGCTCTTTCTTCACGAGCTGTTGCCTTTCTGGTCTTTGGGTGAAACTTTTCTCCCTCCGGCCTACACTCACTTCTGCCTGTTCTTGAAGTCCTCGTCGTAGGGCTTACGGATCTTCCTTGACCATACTCATTGTGAGCTTGGTCCTTCAGACTCTTTGTCCGGCGTAGCAGCTTCCTCCTGCGCAGCTTCCTTTTCTGCTTGTTCGCAGTAGGCTCCGTAATTTTCCTGACATACGTCCGGCATGACCATGTTCCCCATTTCTTCCACGCTTACCATCTTTCCGCGAAACTCAATCATCTCCGGATCTTCTTCACTTCTCCTAGAGGTTACTCTGCTTCCAATGCGGTAATCCTGTTCACTGATGATCGGCATTCTTACTCCACTTTGTTCAGGTCGTACGCTGCTGGCCATTCCGCGTTCTCCGTGCTGTTCCTGATCCTGTTCCTCTGCGGCGTAGCTTGGTGTTCCAACTGTGGTCTTCCTCCGGTCCAGGCGCTTCAAGTACAGGTGCTTCAGGTCCCTGTGTTTCAGGGGTTTGGTCGTACATGTTCTCCCACTTACTCGTCGCATACTCCCTGATACAACCTTCGCATGCGCACCACGTGTGCCCTTGCTTCTGGCGCCCGCAAGCTTTCTCTTTGCACCAGTAGCATTTCTTAGCCAATACCTGATACTGGCTCCGATGGAAATTCCATGACTTCCCATTCGTCACTACCCTCGCTTCGGGATTCTCCGCGTTTTCCTCGTCCTTTATGGCTTCCAGTAATACTAGGACGGGTTTCCGGGAAACATACGTAGCAGTGCCGAAATCCTTCTCCCAAGGCCTGCTCTTTGTCTTTCCATTCGAACCTTCCGTACTTTGCTTCACCCTGGACGTAAAAGCAAGTAGGTTTGTGAAACACTTTGTTCCGGGACGCCGTACTTACTTTCGCTTTTCCCAGCCCATAGGCCAGGCTCATCATCCTGATGACCTTTCGGTACAGGCTCCACATATACGGGCTTGCCAAAAGCATGATGCATACCATCATTCCCACTTCGAACAGAAGGTTTTCTCCTCCATTCTGTCCATCTTTCTTTCTCGGTATCCACTGGCTTCCTGATCTCCTTCGAGCCAAGCTGCGGTAGTCGGCTTCAGCAAATGGAAAATCTGCATTGCTCTGATTAGATTCTTAACCTGATTGCTTCCGACACACTCTTTCAGCTTCTTTTCCTGTTCATGCTTCTCGTACTCTGTCTCTCCAGTATACTCCATGTTTCCATCCTCAGTATACTCCACCTGTGACAAGTGACACAGTAGGAATGACCTTCTTGCATACGATAGCTTCTTGGTGTTCAGATCTGCAACGTTCAATGCAGTCTTAACTGCTCCAAGCTTTACAAGATTGTCACGTACCCAATCTTGCAACTGACATAGCCTAACATCCACATGCTTCAGTCGTCCAACTCCTCTTCTTTGGGTCCACTGTCTAGCTGAACTTGAGTCACATCTGACTTCGATTCTTACTGGGGCATCAATCAAGAATTCGAATAGACGTCCAACCAAGATCGCTTCTCCGCAGGTTCCACTCAATGCATACAGTTCTGCTTCACAACTTGAAGATGAGGTGGCTTTCTGTGTTCGTGAGAACGATAGTACTTGTACTCCATTCAGTACGATGATACCTGATGAGGTACTCTTCCTTCGGGCTTTCTTCAGACTTGCCCAATCACTGTCCGAATAGGCTTCCACAACGTGTCCTGCGTCCTTGGCAATTTCTTCATCCTCTTTACCATTCAACTTGGTGATCAATCGGCTTCCGATCGCTGTATGCGGTAACAGGGTAGCTCTTGTGGCTGTTCCACTCAGATACAAATCAAGTGCTTCAAACACTTAAGTGCCTGCACTGTCGGCTTCGACATACTCGATGCTAAGCACTTTGAGGCATACTGGATGTCAATCCTGTCCTGTGCTAGGTACAAAATAGATCCAAGTCCAGATCTAAACCGTTTTGTCTCTTCAGCACTCGATTCTTTACTCGTGTCTTCCTTCACCAAATCCACGTGTTCCGGTGTCGCTTTACTCTTCAGTCTTCCCAAGTCATACAATTCAATCAGCTTCCTGACGTACTTTTTGTTGGGTTGTACGACAATTCCTTCCGGGACAAACACATACTTCCTCTTGAGGTAACGCATCTCTTCTCCACTTCCGACTCCATTTATCGGATAGGGTCCTTCTTTCTCCACCTTGAAAATCTCTTCCACCAGCCAAATGGTCTCATGTCGTTCTCCTGCTGATAGCTCATCATCCACGTGGACAGAGATACACAGCTTCTTCGTGACGTGTCTTGCCAATGCGGGTACATGAAAAACTTTTAATTTCTCAAGAATACTTCGCAAATGTTCATACCATCGCGTAGCTGCATTCCTTTGTCCTGGTAGACAACGTTTCAGTCTCCATATGATGGCGGTACTTTTGTGATCACCCCTGCTGGAAAGCTGAGAGACGGTGCAATTCATTGAGATGACGATGATTCGTCGCGTAAGATTCACTTCCGTGAAGGAGGTAATCTTCTTCTCCTTCGCCATGCTCAAAGATCGTCGCAAAGTGGCAAGCCATTGATTGCGCTGTCCTCGGGTCGAGCCCCGGGAGATTATTCTTCCGGCTGTCTTCACCTGAGTGTAGTGTGCCGGAGAGGCTCCGGTCACCTTCACCTGTGTTAAGCACACCAAGTAGCCGTTTGCCTTCACCTGTATGGAACGTACAAACGGGTACCTCCACCGGTGTGAAGCTTCCCGTTTCCTGGGAGCTCCGCTACCACGTTGAGATGTAACCTGGGTGTGTATTCCCTCGCTATGCGTACACGAACACAGGCGCACAGGAGTCTCTTTTTACTACAGGCGCACAGCTGTAGATCTCTGCTGTACTAGAACCTTGAGCAACAGGCATGGATACATGCAAGTGATACGTGAAACAGGCAGGCACGTGGATGCGTAACATTCAGTGTTTCACCCCCCCACCCCCCACCACTCCCCCCCCTCCCGCCCCCCCAAAGTCTCTCACATTTGTACGGCAAACGTGGGTCCTAAATCCTAAGTCCTAAGTCCTACAAGCCCAGTCCTTAAGAGGCAGCTCGACAACTTCCATCAAGGCACTGCAAAGGCTTGAAGACCTGCACTCTACGCTTTTACCCCAAAACAACCAAAGATAATAAGGCTGGTTTGAAGGCTTAGGGCCGAGGGGCCTTGCGAGGAGTAGGCTTTGCGGTTGTAGGATGTCAGGTTTCATTGTATCAGGGTTCAAGGCTTCTTCTGCTAGTTTGGGAGCAGGAACCCCAGTCAGTCGCCCCAATTTCTCCTGAAGTACCTACAATTACAGCAATCACCCTTCGTCACTGCAGGAATGGCAGTTGAACGCTTTCTGTGATAAAACAATGCCAGATCATGTTCCGCTTCTGAATGCTACAACCACCTTGCTCAACAATGGGGCTTGAGTGTTCTGAAGCCCTAAGCCCAAAACCCAGTATCATGAAACCAACGCCCCAAAGGGCGGACGACTAAACATGCTACTCAGGTACCCCTCGTGTGGCCGGTTCTTGCGCTTGGCAAGGTTCAGCGTTTGGTGGGGACCCTGTTGTCAAACTGACCGTCCGGTATTAACACCCCTGTTTGTGAATATCACTCACCGAAAATTGGGATGTCAGGCTCTCAACAACATAACATAATGAAAACCGTTCATGAAGCATGCTTTCGGGCGCAAAAGCAGGCTCGAAAAACTTTCCGGTCTTAACACCCGGTCTATTGGTGTGACCTTGACATTATATTGCATACGATAGGTCCAAATAGTATAACGTCTACTATACTATGCTATGGCATACTTGATGTTAAATCGGTTTTTCGGCGACACTCAGCCTCTTGCCTCGAGCACGGCATGTGGAGTCCAGAGGTTGCAGTTGGTCCGGGCTGGAGCCTCAAAACCTCGGACATCAAGGAGAGCAGTACTACGAGAGCGCTAGGAGTCTAGGAGAGCCCTTTGAAGTGGTTGAGGGTTTAGGGTTTTGGGATGCTTTTGGGTGTTTAGGCTTTAGGCGGTTTAGGGCTTAGGTGGTTCAAAAGTAAGAAGGTTTAGGCCATCCGGGGAGATACGGGGAACATGGATCTCGGAAGACGAAACTGAAGGAGTCTGAGCTTCTGAACAAGCCTTATCGGATCATGCTTGAATGTGTATGTGGTTGCGAGGCGTGTGCTGTCGTTGGAAAAATCTTGTCTGCTCTCTGCCATTGACGAAGCCCCTCCCACACCCGTAGCAACTTAATTCTACCTCTCATTCAAAAGCTGGTTGAACGTATTTATGTTAAATGCCCTGCATATGTACTTTCCTAATTTGGCAACACTGGCATCTACTTTACATGTCTGTGTGATTCAATTTTGGGACTGTTTCTATGCTAGCTGTTATGCATACCTTTTTCGCTTTTGGGAACGTTTCCGCGTCACATGTTCCCGGTGCGTCTACATCGACCCTGTTTGTGATAAAGCCGAAATGCCAAAGCCTATGCTGAGCTCAGGAAGCATGACCTTGATAGGAATGCAGACTCGCAGCCGACCTGTCGGAGGAAGCCCTCCACCTGCTTCAACGAAAGTTTAAGGCTTAGGGAAGGTTTAGGATTCACGGTCCAAGGCTTGACGGTTGACAACAACATTTTAAGTGTAGGATTCAAGGATGATAATATCCTAACCCGAAAGTAAAACTGAATAACACAAGCCAAGAAGGCTGTGGGAAACGGGTCCTCGAAAACCCTGTCTTTTGAGGTGGAGATGCGAGCCATGAGTCTGTCCCAGGAGGAGGTGGAGTTGTATGCCACGACCAACGCCCAGCTTATCATGGAAGATTGGGACATGGAGCAGTCACGTGGTCTGATCTGTGAGCTTGCGGAGGCGGACTTCTTTTTGGCTCGGACCGGGTGGGGTCCAGAGATGTTGGTGTGCTTGGGAAGGGTGGGGGAAAAGGACGCCACACTTATCTGCTCATCACTTCCTCTTCCTCCGGAAAAGCACACATACTCATTTCAGAAACAAGCACAACAATCTGACTTCGGATGAGTACGTGGCTTCTTTGAGCAGGGTCGGGACTGGTATCATCGATTGTAAAAACGAAACGTGCAACCCCAAGTCTTGTGTCGAGCCTCGCCAACCCCGCAAGAAGCCTGCGTATAGCTGCTGCAAGCTCGTAGCCTGAATAAACCAAAAAGTTACCGTAAACTAACAGTAATACTGCTGCTGGTGCAAGTAAGAAGTAATAGTAATCAGACTTGGTTGCTTCAACATAACGGCACTAACCACGGAGTGATATTCTGCCTGGGCCATGGACCAAATGTAGCCCCCCGAGCTCACGGGAACAGCCTCACGCTTGGAAGAGATGCAAACGATCCAGCTTCTAAGAGCCTTGACTTCCGGGGGGGGGGAGGTGGGGTTTTGGGCATCCGGGCATGGGTCAGTCAGATCCACAGAGACATAAAACCCCCAAAACCCAAAGCCCCAAACCCTCGACCAAAGTGTGGGTTCTTCACGGGTCCTTCAGGGCGGGCTCGGTACAGGTACTCGAACTGGCAGAATCGTTACCCATTCAAAGTGGACCCAACAAAGTGCTTTCAGGCATCTTCAAACTATTCTCCCCATGAGGCGGAGAGGCTCACCCTCGCAGGGCCCCTGGAACCAGTTCATGACCGACCGGAACATGTTTCCCATACAGCTGAGGAGTCCAGAAAAAGCTGTGCTTTTTGCTTTCAGGTACAATAACCGATCCGTTTCTCAAGAAGCCTAATTACCTTGATGACTCTGCGTTGAATTGGTGGCTTGGTGGTTGCACTCAAAGCCTACAGGCAGGTGGTTGAATGCTGTAGATACTATGTATGTATGTATGTATGCATGCATGCATGCATGCATGCATGTATGTGTATATATATATATATATAGAGAGAGAGAGAGAGAGAGAGAGAGTGTGTAACGGAATGCAGGCCGTGCTTTTGCAGAGAAGTACGTGTTTTTTACAGAATGCCAGTGTCCATATGTATATATTGATATGTGATCATACCAAATTCAGTTTCCGTGGCAATTGACCTATGATATGTATGCATTTTATGGGGATGGGCATTCTTCGCTACCAATAACACAAAGTGCCTTTCATAGATGTTGACTCATTATACTAATCGAAGATATGGACATATGATACCAAGAAAATGAAGTTAGATGGTAATGACTCCCAAGAACAAAACATGAATCTTGCATCAAATATTGACCATCCACCAAAACCGTTGGTGCTTTCTTGCTCCATAGCAACATCAGCTTGAATTCGGACGGGTATGGACTCGCAATATCGTCAAAGTGAATCTAGATCTATACTGTTCTACAACCATGCAAATGAACTTGAATGGACATTGACTGAACAAAAGACAGTATTGGATGGTATTGACCTGCAGCAACGAATGAACTGGGATGGTAATTGCCCTGCAACAACAGCAACTTGATTATGGATAGGCACCGGCCCACAATACTATTGAATTGACATGTCCTGAAAAAATGAATTCGGATGGGCATTGACCCATACGAACTACATGATTTTGGATGTGATTTCATCCACGACATAGAAAACGGAGTTTGGATCGGTTCTGACCCTCAGCATCAATTAGGTAGCCAGGTTAATTTAGATAGGCAGTGATCCAAATGAACACCAAACTACACAATAGTGGTCCAGAAGAATAATCAACTATATCTAGACGGCAGCAAGATTGAATTTGTATGGGCATTGGCACCCAACAGCAAATCGTGGAATTTGTTTCTTGTAGAGCCACACCAAGGCGAATATTAATATGGATGGGTATTGTCCCATGGCCAACGAAAGATAGTTAGCTGGGCAGCGACCCAAATAAACTTAATCAACTGAGAAGGCTTTTGACCCGCAACATCTGGACTTGGATTTGGATTGGTAATGACTTCGGGTACCACCAAATACAACACAATCTGGACAGGTATTGACCCATGCTGATGCAACATGAATTTAGAAACTGAATTTAGATGGATATTGGCACATTCAACAACTGAATTCGGATGGGTATCGCCCCACACCAACATCAACAACAGCGAAAAATTTACCTGGGTATTGACTCGCAGCATGAGCATGCTCAAATGGCTTCTTGGATGGATAAGACTGAATTTGGAATAGCATCGACCCAGAGAAATGACAAGTTGACTTCGGCTGAATATTAACCCATATGAACGACAACTTACTTCTGGCTGGATACCCAGAATATCGAAAGACAATGTGCATGTGTATGGACCCGACATCACAATCACGGAATTCTGGATGGTGTCTGACATTGACCAACAACAATAACAAGAATTTGGTTGGGACATGGTCAACAGCAATAACAAACTTAAAATACCTATAACGAGCTCCAGATGAATTTATATAGGTACTGGCCCACAACCACAAGCCTGAGAGGGGCTGCGGGCCCGAATACAGAAACATGTTTTATCCCGTCGACCTTCACATTTGATAGGGCCCGAGGAAAACCACGGCACGAAAACATGACGCGAAGACATGACATGACAACACTCTTTAAGACCCACTAAGGGACCTTAAGATTTTCTCATCCTCTGTAAACTGCGTGTTGGTGGCCATAAGCACCCAACAACCATAGTTCGAAGTTTAAAGTAAATTAGCTCTCAATGATAAACAACTGAATTTGGACGGACATTGACCCACGACAAATACAGCTCGATTTTTGCTGGATGCGTGCCCAGCACTACAGCAAATTGAATTTGGATGAGTAGTGAGCCATATCAATAGTATCGCAAATTCGGTTATGTATTGACACCTAACAATACCAAATTCAGTTTGAGAGGCATTGATTGGCCCATGATGACATAATAGATGGCGACGGATATTCAAAACCACCAATGGATGGATATCGGCGCGTGATATTAAGCGAAGATGTTCATGGACATATGATGCCAAGAAACTGGAATTAGATGGTAGTGACTTTCAAGAACGAAGAGCGAATTTTGGATCGATATTGGCCGTCCGTCAAAAGCATTGATGCTTTCTTGCTCCACAGCAGCATCAACCTGAATTCGGACGGGTACGGACTCACAAGATCATCAGAGTGAAGTGAACCTACATAAATCAGTACTGCGTCATAACAACAAAAGTGAAGTTGGATGGATATTGACCCATAATAACCAAATAGATTTGGATGATCTTCCCACAAACATACCGGATTGATATTGACATTCCCCACCAAAGACTGAATTCGGATGTGCTTACACACAATAGATGCTCAGAACAAGCTGAATTTGGATAGGCATTTATCCACGACATGGAAATTGGAGTTTGGATGGGCTCTGGCCCACAGCACCAATCAACTTAGTTTGGGTATGTGGTGATCCAAAAGAGCAGCAAACTATATTGTTTGGATAGCAACAACGTTGAGGTTGGACGGGTATGGCACACAACATCCAAAAATAGAATTTGCATCGTGTTGGGCTACACCAACTAGGAAATATTTTACTGTGTTTTGCATGAAAACTGCAAGGAGTGTGCGTGGGCAGGTGAGGAACGGAAAGGTTGGGACGGGACTGCCTGCCAAGGACAGTCCATGGATCCATGGAGGAAGGGGGGTCGGCGAGGGGAGAGGGAAGACGGAAGGCGGGACGGACGGGGAGGGGGGGGGGGGAGCGCGGCAAGAAAACAAGAACAAACAAACAACAACAAAACTGTGAGCCGTTCCCTCGAAAGCTTTTTTTCCACCGGCAACGCCCGCCCGACCCTCTATCTGAAAAGTAGGCTGCACATGAACAGTAAGCGTAGGGAGTTTGCGACAGTTTGCGATTTACACAAGTATGGGGAATACACTCTGAATCCATCACTCCCGACTGGCATGAAAAACTGGGGCCTGTAGTGTGTTGCTTTCTATACATATGTATACATATATATGTATATATATATATATCGATATCTACTTAGTTAGTAGTCGGAACATGTTATCGAAACCTCATGAACCTAGTAGTGAGCTCTGAACCGCAACTTAGCCTAACACACGTATCCCAGCACACCGTCTTACAAGCGCATCCTTGGGCACATCGCGCTCTGCAACTTCAGGCTCAGCTCTGAGGTCATTGCTCGGGCTTCAAAAAGCTTGCAGCCGAGATATCCCACTTTCCTCCCCACCTCTAGGGTTTAGAGCTTAGGGTTTACTGCATTGGTGGAAAAACCAAGCCTTGTCTCAGCACTATGGCCCTGGGGCATGTTACTGCTGTGGCTGCTATAATTGCCCCTCCACAGTGTACATGAAAGTGAACCAGGCAATGCTTCGAAGTGATGATCTTCGCGGTTGTTCCATGTTGTTCCTACTATTGCTGCTGCTGTTCACTCCCCACCCTTGATGCTTGTCTTGCTCTTCCCTACTATTGCCCTGATCTTTTCCATGGGCTTCCTTAACCCTGAACCCTAAACTTCCTGTCGCCCACGGCACCTGGAAGTATACGCTGTCCAGTCCGGCCCACTCGGGGCCGTCCATGTCGTCATTCGCAAAACTATTGAAGACCTGGGTCTTTTGAAGGGCTTTAACTTTCACTAGCCAGCGTAAACGCTAAACCCTGCACCCGTCATGACTATGTAATACGGACCCGTCTCCCCAACAAGAGTTCGGAAAGATCCGGGAGTTTCAAGGTTTCGGTTAGGGTTTAGGGTTTAAGGTTCTGGAGTAATCGAGGGTTCCATTCTAGGGTTTTAAGGTTCCAGGAGGCAACCTCCAGAGCTTTTGGCTTCCAGGGTTTTTAGGACGAGGAGGAGGCTGGGCGGCTCCATATCAGCCAGAAGTGCCCGGGGCCCAACACAATACCTGGGCCACCCTAAGACGTCTAAGAGTCCACAACCAGGTGTGGGATAACAAAACTTGGGCTCAGAGTTCAGGATGCAAGTTGCAGAGACGGCTTACACGGTTTAGGATTCCAGGGCTTGCAGGGCCGGGGTGGCCCAGAAATCTCACACTAGTATGATAAGGGTTGGGGTTCAGGGTTTAGGGTAAATGTGCATATATATATATATATATATATGTATATACACATGGTATCGTATACTATACTGTGCTATAGATGACAATACCATACAATCTGTCCCCTGTTCTCTCCTGTTAACGTCTTTCTGCCACCCTCTTTTAATGGATTTTCCGTCTGCTCCTTGCCGGAACATTGTTCTTGCAAATTGCTCCTTTCTCTCTTCTCGCTGCCTTCCTGTGTTTTGCTGCTTATTCCTTTGTGTGTTCTCACTTTCTCTTCTTAGCCGCCAAGAAAAAGAAACACAAACACGCACACACACACACACACACAACACAAGCAACCGACAGGAAATGCGGCAAGTGGCTTCAACTCCCACTTCCTCTTACGTCCCAATCGTCGTTCTTTCCGTACTGCTGTTTGCTAGCTTACGTTTTTCTTTCACTGTTCTCCCTCGCTCTCTCTCCAAAGGCCCATGCCTCAAGAACATAGTCTCCAATGACTCTCGCTCTTGTTCTTTGACTTGGACCTTGTTCGGCGAAAAGAACAGGAAGAAGGAGCAAAAAAGAGAAGAGAAGAGAAGAGACGCACAGAGCAGAGAGGTGAAGAGAAGGGAAGCGCAAAGAAGAGACGAGAAGAGACAAGACGAGAACAGAAGCGCAGAGAAGAGAAGAGATGAGAAGAGAAGAGAAGAGTAAGGAAGAGAAGAGAAAGAGGAAAGATGCAGACAAGGAAAAGAGCAGAGAGGGCACTTCTCCAAGCGAGGGTTCTTTGGTATACCCCATCAAACAAGAGGCCCCTGACACACTCACAAGCACGAAGCACATTCCTTCAGTCATCCCGGAACCCTGCACCGTACATCACTACGCCTTACACGCGACCATGGCAAGGGGCTACGAGGCCTCCACCGGGTGTGAGAGCGTCAAAGGCCTGGAACGGCTGGAATATGCCGTTTCTCGGCGGCGAACACTACATGTTAAGATCATGATAAATCTTGCAGAAACCCGGAGCCTAAGCCACGAATCACCAGAAAGTCTTGGCTTTCACGGGTAATTCGGTATGTTTAACATCAGCCCTACTTTGCCGCTTGCACCCTCTAAAACCATTGGGGCAGTGTGCATTCATGTGAACGATCTCAAGAGTATAGTCACTTTAGAGGATCGCTCTACAGCCCTTCTTAATTCTACAATCCCGGGAAGACAGTAGTCAGGAGCTCATGTAGACTATGGAAAGCTACCAATTTAGGGGCTGGTGCGGTCTATGAAGTTCACACTCCCGTCAGCGCACTTGAACGAAACGCTGTTCTAACGCTCCGTAGCTATGTGATGATAGGGCGTGCGGTATGATCCCTGATGTGGCTGTTGCCACCTTCAGCATCCTTCTGCCCCTTTCTCATGGCATGACCCTTGGACAGTGTTTCAAAACCAAACAGATTCCTGTTTTAGTCCAAATCCTTCTAAACTATGTTCAGAGGGCTACAACCCTCTCAACCAAACCCACAATCCCCGCATTGACCTTCAACAAGTTTCTTGGGCTGCTCCTTTGCAAATGGCAAAGGAGCCTCAATACCACAAGGGCATTGCACTCTTTGAAAGAAGACTAAGAAGACACTAGTGATTTCCTTCTTGCACCGTCCTCACTCCTTGTTTTGGGGGAATGCTGTTGTCGGATAAGGGACGGGTTTATGCGGATTTGGCACGGAACCTGCTTGAAGATCTGCAGCAGAACCTTTTTGGACCAAATCACGACCTGGCGACAAACAATGATCTGTCAAGCGTTTGTCTCCGACACCATGCACCAGTATGATAAGGTCAACACCTCGCTACTGTCACGAGATGTCTTGGAATCTCCCAATTAAGGGGCCGCGTAACCCGACATTACATCTTCTGCATCTACTTTGATGCTCTCTCTCTCTCGCGGTCGTTCTTTCAGGATAGATTTTGAAGGCACAGGCTGCCAGCGCTGATAGATGCTTTGTGTGAAGGTTGGCTTTGTTGACGAAGTGCGCAGAGAAATCACCTGTCCGTCCAGAGATGAACCTTAAGCCAAAGCATGGCTTCAGGGCTCGGGGATTAAGGGTTTCCTCCATCTTCATGAGATTCCAATGTCTTGTGCACACATATGCCACTCCATTCCTAGTAAATGCCACGTGAGATCGATGTAACATCCTCAAGCCATTTGTAGAAGCGACATAAGCCCTTGGGGTGAGGGTAAATTCTCCAATAGATGCCCTGCCCCCCTCCGATCCCATGCCCGTCGACCAGCAACCCCCTGAGCCCGTAGAATGTTTCTTCGGACTATGCTTTCCTGGCCCTCGTCTGCCTGGTGCGAGAACAGCACCGCGTCATACCCTCGCCTCATTTGATCAAGTTAGGAGCCTAAGGTTTGAGGAAGCTATTGGAACCATGCTACAGCTACATAGTTGCAAGTGACGATATGTGCAGCACCTCGTTGCTCGAGTCATCCAAGTAAAATCGCGGGCGAGCGGGCATGTTTGTTACCCCAGAAGTTAGAAATTACCCCAGGCAGCACTTGCGATGCGCACAGGAGCAGATGGCAAGCTGTGTCAAAATCTGGCCCTTAAACCCATGCTGAAATGGGTGTGTGCCACTACTGCGGCCCTCAAGAACTTAGTCAATTTCATGTTGGCAAGTCGCCACAGCCTCATAGATTGTTGTGACATTTTGCTGCCATTCAGCTAGCACAAACCAGAGAAAGCCGAAAGCCTCCAAAAACCTTCTAGTAAAGTCCTTGCATGGGTGCTGAAGATCCTTTTCTCGGTCAGAGCACATTACTGTAGCCTTACCTGCCGCAAAACCCTCATTGCGATTACAAAACCAGCCCTCATACCTTCTGGATAAATTTAAATAGTTTGGACCCTTAGCATGTACTAAAGAAACCCTAAACCCGAACTCCTAAACCCAAAACCCAGAACTCTAAACCCTAAACCCTAACCCAAAACTCTAAAGCCTGAACAGCCAAAACCCTAAGCCCTAATCTTGCCGGTAGATTGGCGGGAAGTCGGACACCAGGAAGGATCCGGCGCGGAGGTCGATACGGTCCGAGAGGCCCGCCTCTGCGAGAAGCTGACAGAAAGTGCTTCCAGATCCTTATAGCATAGTTTGTTGTACTAGAATCCAGTATGCTATACTCTAGTACATCCCAAGTACACGAACTGAACCCCAGAAGCCTAAACACTACCCTGATGTGTGCTTAGAATGTCTCTGTTTCATAGGGCACAAGCTGCCCCTGAGTCATAGTGCACTTCTGATGCTGGTTTTACTCACATACTAGATTGCACGTATACGTACTGAAGCATTTATCCTTTGTCACACTCCTCTTGTCAATGACTTGTCTGCATACCAGAATTTGCATTATTGGGATCCAACTGACCAAGATTTGTTCCATCTGCTCAGTACTGGCAAGTCTGCATAACATATGTCTTGTGTCTAGAATTGAGTTGGAAATGAAACAGTTACATGATATGCTCAGGCCCAAGTCAGGGGGGGCATTTTATCGTGAACCAAGAACTCCCGAGTTCCACACCCAAGTAACTACATGAAAACGGGTTGCGAACTGGAATGCAAGGGTCCATGCTTAGCACCTTGGGGTTGAGGGTTTATGAAGGGTTTGGCGGCTCAGGGTCAGGAGTTTCAACAACAGGGATCCTGAGCCCACCGTATCTTATGCCTACCGTATCTTATTCTGTTTTTTCCGGGCGACAGGCTCCATTAGGACATTCAGACCTATGGTAAAACAAGCAAGGTTGTCCGCCTCCAACAACTGTTCGAAGGAAGATACAATCTTACTGTTGAGTGGGGACCTTGGTATCCGTAGACCCGAAGCCCTAAACCCTACCGTTCATGGGGACTGTGTAGCCCAAACATGAACAGCACTTCTCCGCTGGCCTTTGCAATCAGGTTTCGCGGAATGTCGACGGTCTCCTAAGGTCTGAGGCTAGCGTTTATAAGATTAGCGTTTGAAGCCCAGTCGTGTTTAAGATTTATGGTTTTATGCGTGGACTGCGCTTTATGAACTAGATCTTTATCACGTGGTGGTGCAATATACTTTTTGAGGACTCCCCTCGACCTCCCAAAATTTGCCCTGGCACCTGCCATTCCTAAGCTTTGGGGTTGAGGAACCTTCCAATCGCATGGGCTTTTGAAGGCTTAGGGGAATGTTCCGGCAGTTCTGAGGTCTGGGAATTCGTCCCTAAATGGCAAGGGTTCTGAACAGAATTCAAGGATTCCTGTGTTAAATAAAGGCAAGGCTTTAGGAATTTCTAACTAAGGATTCTTAAAAGCCTGTAGTAACGACAGCCTGACAGTGGCAGTTATGATAATCCAATAATAAGTCCGGGGTCTTCCCAATTTCAAGAGGATGTAGGCTTTAGGGCCAAGGTTGAAGGTCGTGTATGTCACACGCATACGCAAAACAATATCGGGATCATAAGAAATCTTTGATCATTTGATTCCATCGGCAAAGAACCCCCGAGGCGTAGGTTACCACAGGCCTTATGGTAGGCCCTACAGACCCCTGCCCACCCCCGTCATAGACCCTATCTGTAGGCCCTGTCCCCCCTGTCACAGGCCCTGTTTTGGTCCTGTCCAGCCCTGTCAAAGGCCCTGGCCCCTGCGATGGGCCGCGTCTGTTACTGTTACTACTATGACTATGACTATTACTATTCCAATTACTATCACTATTACTAATTACTAACTTCGAATTTCTAATTACTGATTGCAAAACGAATTACGATTACGATTCGATTACGATTACCATTACTATTACTATTACTTGGACTATGACTATTTCTATTACTACTTCTACTACTTCTACTACTTCTACTACTTCTACTACTTCTACTACTTCTTCTACTACTACTACTACTACTACTACTGATACTACTACTACTAATAATAATAATAATAATACTACTACTACTACTACTCCTACTCCTACTCCCACTACTACTACTATTACTACTACTACTACTACTACTACCACTACGACAACTACTACTACTACTACTACTACTACTACTACTACTACTACTACTACTACTACTACTACTACTGCTACTACTACTACTACTACAACTACTATTTCTACTTCTACTACCACTACTGCTGCTGCTGCTACTGCTACTGCTACTGCTACTGCTACTGCTACTGCTACTGCTACTGCTACTGCTACTACTACTACTACTACCACTACTACTACTTCTACTTCTGCCTGCAGGGTCTGTGGACAGGGGTGGACAGGGCCTATCAACAGGGCCTGTGACAGGGGGTGACAGGGTCTGTGACAGAGCCTGTGACAGGGCCTGTGACAGGGTGGACAGGGCCTATGACAGGGTCTGTGATGGGGTGCAGTAGGCGGGACAGCAGGGCCATGCACAGGTAAAGGGTAGGCTGTCGGCGGGGGTGTGCCAATCAGACAACCTGACCCCTCTACCCAGAGCCCTAAAACGATAAACCCAAAGAACTACCCTGAACCCTTCTAATCGCGGCATGCCGTGATGTCATTATGAAGTCTCGGAGTTTCTAGTTCCCCCCATGAACCAGTGACGTAACAGCAGTTAACAACGGCAGTATATAAGAACACTAACAAGGTGCAGAAACCAACCTGCAACGTGGGCATACCTAGCCAACGAAAGCCAACTTAAAGTATACTATACTATACCATACCATACCATCCTATGCTGTAGGCGCATACCAACGAACTGACAATGGCAGCTACCTTACGACCCTCGGAAAAGCCAGGCGCGCCAGAGGCCCACTTTTGGATACTTTAGGGGCTTTAACAACTAGAATCGAGTTTTGGGATACAAGAGCAGGACAGGAACAAAGAGTGCCAACATGTCCCCTTGTCGGGGAAGTCCCAGAATCGTGCTGGTCCTGGCCAAAAGCTGCGATCTTGAAGTCTGCTTGGCTTTTCGGATCTCTGAAAATTGTTGTGGAGGGTGGGGTTGAGTTTAAAGGGCTTCGAGAATTCTTTTACCACAGTTTAGGGTCTGGGGCTTGTGGAGGTTTTTCGGACATATACTTCTTTCCTACAAAGTTTAAGTGGTAGAGTTTGGGGGTTTAGCAACAGGGCTTACAAGACTCAGAGGACTAATGGAAAGTAGGACGTCTCAACAGCAAGGGCAGCATGGGAAGAAGAACATAACATTTATCACGTAATGACAACAATTAGCTAGGATGCCCAGACAGCAAAGGGACTAGCCAAGTTTGCAAAGCACCGGTGATATTTACCAGAAATGAATATAGGTTATGGAAGCCGATCGCTTGAGTCTTTTCCTAAACTGCTTGGCCGACGTGGGGGTACGAGCCGAGACCGGGCTTGCATCGGACTCTGCTCGTCTTGGGCCGTCATTCTTCGCAACGCAAACCCCAGGATTTCGGACGTTCGCAGAGCCCCAAAGGCAGGGGTGTCTTCGGCTGCTGGAAAGTCAGGGTGCGCTGATTCCGGCAGGTCAGTGCTACAGCTACCGGCTGGCAGAGGGTAAGATAGCAATGACCAACTTCGAACGCCGTGCCGTGCTGCCCGAATCTGACTCTGAACGGCAAACCTCAAGGTGGTTGAGTTTAGGCTGCAGCCTTAGCATGCAGCCTGGCATGCGTAAGCCCTGCATCCGAAAGTCTGAAATCGGAGTACTGACTCCTCGCGCGATAAGCAGGATCACTGCCGCAGCAGCAGCGGCGGCACCAGCAGCATAATGCTGGTAGCGACAACAATGAAACGCACAAAGACACATCTCTGCATTGCTACGGTTCTTGCGCTGCACGAAGCTTATGTCAGTTCCGCCCTAACCACCAGGTGTGCGGATACTTACAGCCCCGACGACTTTGGAATGGCAAATGCTCATATCACAGAAGTACCAGGTGCAAACCAGGACGAAAAATGAGGTTCTGCTACCTTTTAACACCTGTTATCCTAGGAAATGCCCTGGACATACCCGCAGAGTTCTCTGTGGGATTCTTGTGTGACTACAGAAAATTTCATCTATATTCCAAGACACTCCCTGTGCCCTAAACCCTAAACCATGTACAAATCGTAGAGCAAGTGGAAACAGGCACAGGGCACCCAGAGGGTGATCTTCAGCTTGTCGAACTTCTTTGCCAGGTAGATAGCTCCGTGTCCAGCCCCTCGCAAGTGGATCCAAAATTGTAGTCGTAGTACTGGATGTTTATTTGAGATCTAGGTAACGAGAGAGGGCAGACACAGCAGCAACGATACCAATGAGTCGCATGATGATGCAATACCAGGCAATTCCATAGAACAGAGCCGTAGCATGTTGTTGTATATAAGTGGGCCCCCCAAACCTCAGCCCTCCGAAGAGCCCAAAGCCAGAAAAAGCAAATCTCTCTCTCTCTCGCTCTCTCTCAAACGACCCCTGAAATGTCAGCCTCCGCCCACATCGAGCATCTTCTTGGCACCCCGGATGACCACGGAGTGGTTGGACAAGCAGGGAATTGACATGCTGGTGAAGGAATTCATCATGTCCTCAGACACCCCAAGGGCGTGGTTTAGGGCCTTGGGGCTTTGGGGGTTTGGGGCTTAGGGTTTACACTGCCTTCACAAAACAAACAAGCCTTTGGGTCTCAGAAAGCTGAACCACTGAAATATGATGGGTGTGACATTCTGTGATCATGAAGCGACTGGTAGACAATCCTCGTTCTTACCATGGAAGTCAAGGCCATCAAGCCACATAGAAGATCTTCTGCGACCCGGGCGTGTCAGGGAATCGAGCATACAGATTGTCCTTGGTTTTCTCAGCGAGTGCCCGTACATCAATGGCATGATGATGCAGAAAAAACACACAAGATAACTGGACAATAAATAATCTTGATGGTAACTAATAACTGCAACACAAGCCTAGACTAGCAATAAAAGATATCATGGCCACAAAGCCAATCATAACAGTCGTAGCGGCGGCGATGGCCCGAATAACCGTACCTAAACAGCTGCCCAAAGAAAACGATACTGACAACATGCACGTTACAAAAAAAAATCGCAGACAATCCGTCATAATCCTTGTGAAGGCGGAGGTATTCCCTCGTAGCCCTGGCATCAGCGAGGAACTCACCGGTACCGGTTCTGATGAACCAATCTGGAAGTAGGCTTAAGGTTTTAGTCTTTCTTCGGCTGTAGACGTCGAACCAACACTGAGGGGTTTTATACAGTATTGTAATGTACTATAATAGGGTTTGCAGTATGAATTACCGCCGAGGAACGTGTCCGTGCTTGATATCTAAACTGGGAAGGACGGAAGCATGAGTCGTGAGAAATTGGAGTCCGTGATGGGGAAATACATTGGTCAAAGTGTTGGCGCCCGTTCTTTGCTGTTGCAAAATATGTATGCTATGGTGTATCTGACTGCAGTTTGCGGCCATGGTAGTAGTAATAGACTACTACTACTACTACTACTACTACTACTACTACTACTACTACTACTACTACTACTACTACTACTACTACTACTGCTACTGCTACTGCTACTGTTACTGCTACTGCCTGCTACTGCTACTGCTACTGCTATTGCTACTGCTACTGCTACTGCTACTGCTACTGCTACTGCTACTGCTACTGCTACTGCTACTGCTACTGCTACTGCTACTGCTACTACTGCTGCTGCTGCTGCTACTGCTACTGCTACTGCTACTGCTACTGCTATGACGAAGCGTCTCGGCTGCCAGGCGCGGTAAACCCGCGAGATAGTACTGTGCCCAGCTGTGTTCATGGAAAACCGAAGAATTTCCGGCTGGCTCAGATGTCTACTGTCGACTGGCTTGCCGCTAGTCCTGCAGCAGAGTGGATCCCCAATCACAATAAAATCGCGTTGGAACCTGAACAGCTTTACGCTCGCGAACTCTTTCAACGTCCGCAAGCCAGAGAACAGTTTTTCAGTCAACTGGGACAGCTTATGCTACGGGCTGCAGGAGGTTACATCAGCAACATTGACTGGGATCGGCAGTTCGAGAGGGAATGGGGATCTGCACACCCGGCTGTGGCCCTATGTGCAGCTAGACGCACTCCCTTTGCTCCAGATGAACATCAACTCTGGCTTTGGGTTCGACTGCATTACCCAGCATGGCTCCAACATATGTGGCCTGATGGACAGCCTGCTGCCCCGACCGCTGTTCAAATTGATCTCCATGCAATGGACTGAAGCAGGCCCGATGACCCCAAGAATCGGACTGATCCCTACCAGAACTTGTCTAGGACGTACCGGCCGATGGTGGAGGCCCAAAACCTCCTCTTGCAGAAGCCCAAGGATCCGAAGATCCAAACGAAGCCTCGCTTCACCCCTGCTGTGGACCAGGAACTCGTGGTTCTTGTGGTTCTTGACCGTGCTCTGTGGTCTGTGCACGTGCCCTTGGCATGTGCTTATGCGGGTAGGGTCACTGAAACAGTTCTTGAGCTTGGCACTGACATGGCAGCTATATGTGTTACGATGTGCAAAACGGGCTCAAGGAACTTGGCCACAGGCTGGATGGACAGCAAAGATGAGTGGGCCGCGCTCTTCCGACAGTGAAGAGATCGACCGTCGAATGACGGCAGAAGAGCGAGCATTGCGTCTGGCATTTGAAACGGCACCTGTTCCTACCACTCCTGGCGGTACTCCTTTGCCGCGTGGCCCACCGCCACCACGTCCAGTAACGGACCTACGTGACATGTCGCTGAGGGTCTCGAGTGCGATATCCCAGACCTTCCTCGAGGTGGGCCTACAGGTCAACCAGGTGCTCACGCACATTCCCTGGACCTTCCGAGGCATGGACCGGGTCACGGTGAATATCACCCACATGACGCCGAACGAGGCCCTTCACCCTAATGTGCTGGATACCACGGAAAACCTGGAGGGTGGCGAGGAAGAAGAAGAGGTGGCAGAGGACGAAGAGGCAAGTCGAGCAGGGACGGATCATGGACCAGCCTCTTTGCCTGTCTGGCACGACGGCGGCCACCATCACCACCAATATGTCGGCGGAGGGCAGAACGCGCATGAATGCCAGCGAGATGGCCCGGCTGATCCCGGAGCTCGGCACCCTGCCAGAGTACAGCGACGATGATCTGCATGCCGCGGGCTCATCCTCGGATGTTGTCTCTGCCTCGGCTCTTGCTGCTGCTCCCACTGGGCCATGGCATCTACCTGAAGTGCCTTCTGCCACGGCCATGGCCTCGACACGCATGAGCTCCTCTACCTCAGCAAATGCCAAGCCAAAGGTGAACAGGAAGTGCGAGCCTCATTTCGCTATTGCTCTCTCGAGACTCCGAGTGCTTAGCAGCCTTTTGTGTGCATTTCTGCTTAGTCCTCTGGGCCTAGGCGTCGGCGGTCTGATAGGGAAGAGTAGTGATCTGCGACCGAGTAGCGGGAATAGGGCTAGCGATCCCGTTGATCGCGGTATGCCGTGTGCCGACAATCACCACTGCATCGAGCGGCCGATTGAAAAGGCAATCTGCACGGTGAGCCAGTTCGTGAGCTTTGCCTTACACTATGTCCTGGCAATCATTGCACATAATACACTCTGCCTGCTGCAGTATTGCAACACACGGCAGAATGCATGGTTGGCCAGGTACCGGAGCACCTGTGTGTTGTCGACGGCGAGTGCGGCCTTCCCCTCTACCAGGCGACACAGGTTTTTCAATCACTCTATTCTTTTCGCAGAACGGTGGAGTCCGTGTTTCAGGTACAACGTGATGGGCCCGAACATTGAGGGCCACCAGGCGGGGGATTCACGATCGACTCCAAGCTTCAATGAAACTTGGATCGCAGGACAGCAGGATATCTGCCACAGCCGGACCGGTCCCAAGTCCGGTCGTCGACTCAGGAGGCCCGAGTTTTATCAAAGAATGCTGCTGACTTTTCTTTGGCTGTGTCTCTTTACTGTCAGTGGGGCCACTAAGACTGATTCGACAGACGCGAGGGTTGCTGCTGTGCCCACACCAGTAGCTGGAGTTGCTTCGGCGACAAAGTCATGTGGAGTGCGATGGGTCAGCGAACCCCAGACTTTCCAGGCACCCACGCGTTACATCAAGCGAAGCTACAAAAGGGCATACGCCAGAGCCCAAAGGACAGGCGGTGCGTACTATCGTGGACTGTGGAGACATGCTGAATGGTTTCGGCCCACCGACGTCAGGACCCAAGCTCTTCCTCGGAACAAGGCGACGATCAAGACTACGAAGGCCTGGAAGGTGATAAGGTGGAACTCCTCTGGTCTAACCACCTCAGTCTATCAGGAGTTGGAAACGTACCTTCGTCAAGAACGGGTGGACATTGCATTCATCCAGGAGTCTAAATGGCGATTTGAGAGTACATGGGAGACTGCGGAGTTCCTATACATTCACTCTTGTGGAACAGGACCGGTGGACAAGGTGGGTGGCGTCCTCACCATTGTGAGCAAACGGCTCGCCAAGGCCTCGGATCTGCAATTCCAGGTCCTCCACGGAGGTCGTCTACTTCATGTCAGGGTTCCGAGTGGTGGGGTCCACGTTGACTTGCTGAACTACTATCAATACGCTGTTGTCCAAGAGGATGTTGTTTATGAGCGCCGACAAAATATGTTTTTCAAATTACAGAAGTGTTTGGCTGGCTTGCCTCGCAGGAACTCCTTGATTTTGGCCGGTGATTTTAACTGCCCGTTCATCCCCTTCGGCAATGTTTGTGGCACACATGTGATTTCTCCGAGTGCAGATCACTATCGAGACCTTCAGGATCAGCAAAACATTGCCAAGTCGCTCAAGCTCACGGCCTTGAACACATGGCAGAGGCCTCCACACGGTCAGGGGGCAATGTTTACAGCTTTTAGTGATCGTTCTGCACAGATCGACTTCATTGTGGTCAGGTCGAGACAAGCAACAACTACGTCCCGACAAGCGGCAGTGCTCCCGGACTTTCCGGTTGCCGCGTGGAGAGAGGGTCCGAAACATCATCCGGTTCAGGCCTGGGTGGCGCTGCCACCACCAACATGGATCAAGGACCGTCCCTCTACCTTTGAGCCGAAGCAGATTGACAAAGAAGCCATCATTCAGGACCTAAAGCAAGAGGTCACCGATCAGCTTACCGGCATACCTGGAGACCTCAATAAAATTCTGCTGCAGGCTGCACTTCAACACTACCCACTTCGACGAGTTGGCAAAGGGGCCACTCAGCCGATGGAGCTGGCCAATCAGGCCAAAGACATGTGGCAGAAATTCAGGGCGATGCGTGCAAATCGCTTCAGCATGGCTGGCATTGTCCCAGCCTGGAGGCAATGGGCGGAAATTCAACAAGCTCATGCTCTACACAAAGCCAGGTCCAAGCAGCGGTCGAAGCAGAAGCGTTTAGACATTGTCCAAAGCGCGCAACAGGCTGCAGATGAGGGCAACGCCTACAAAGTATGGCAAGCTGTCCGACGCTTGGTACCAAGGGCTCCCAAGAAACAACTACAACTTCACAAGGACGGGAAAATACTCAGCTTTGATGAGGAGCTTCAGTGGATTGTGACGGCGTACGGGGACCGTTTCGGGGCAAAGGCCGAGATTGACTGTCCTCAAGTTCAGGTCTCAGATCGGGGAGGATTACACATAGATCCTGCAGAAATTGCTTGGCAGTTGGCAAGACTGAATCCACGGAAGGCGGTCCCACGGTGCACTGCTCCGGCAGTGGTCTTCAAGGCCAGCAGTAACATCATTGCAGCCCCAGTGGCTGAACACTTCAATGAGACCTGGGCGCAGGAGGACCCACAGGTGGACCAAGATTGGGCAGATGCAGAGGTAGCCCTGCTGCCCAAAGCACACGGGCGATCTGCCACGCCCCTAGACTGGAGGCCAATTGGACTTCAGGACCCCCTGGGAAAATGTGTCATGGGACTCGTTGTGGCACAGGCACGGGAAGCAATCGTTCGACTGGTTCGACAATACCCGCAGTGCGCCTATCTTCCAGGTCGGAGCACACACACTGCTCTTCGAAAAGTTTTTCAGCACTGTCATGGTGTACGTGAAGACTGCTCCAAAGCTCGCAGAACCATACACGATCAACATGCTGGAGCCGCGCCGGTTGGCTGCTCTGGCGGACTACAAATTAGTGTAGATCTTAGTGCAGCTTTCGATGTTGTGCATTGGGATCACCTCAAAGAGTCGCTTGATCTTGCCGGTGTCAATCTTCTTGTCCAAGAGGTCATCCTTCAGTGGCTTCGACAAGTTCGCTACCTGTTTCGTCACCGAGGCAAGCAGGGCATTGTTGTCCCCAAATGGGGATTACGGCAAGGATGCAAAGCTTCCCCTTGTCTGTGGGCAGCCTATACAGCTCTCCTATGTGTCAACATCAACTCACAACTTGGAGGTGACTGGGTGAAAGATCACCTGACCAAGTATGCGGACGACTCGCACCTACGCTGGCGGTTTCAATCCTTTGAGCAGTTCGAGGCCATCATGCAAGAAGTCTGCCAAGTGTTTGTCTGCTTCCGTAAGTTTCACATGAAGATCAATCTTGAGAAAAGCAAGGCCATCCTCAAGATGGTGGGCACCCTCAAACACAAGGTTCGCAAGGACTTCATCCGCAAAACTAATGCAGGCCATCGACTATTGCTCTCTCCCAGGAATCCCGACAAGTGGCTGACCCTGGTGCAAAGTACGGAATACCTAGGCGCCATCGTGTCATACCAGCAGTTTGAGCTTCAAACATTGCGACATCGCATATCGAAGGCCAACGCACGCAGATGGGCACTGGCCTCATTTCTGCACTCTCGCAGGATATCGGTCAAGCTTAAACTTCGCATCTGGCAAAGCAGTGTTTTGTCTTCACTCTTGTACGGATTGAGCACATGTGGGCTCACCGGAGGACAAGTGGAGGACGTCCAGCGGGTCATCATGAAACATGTTCGGGCCATCATTTCGAACCAGGCGCATCTCACAGGGGACAAACATGAAGTCATTATCCGAAGATATCACATTCCGTTGGCAGCCGATCTCCTACAAGCTGAACTTCACAGAGCCAGCGCGGCTCAAGATCAACATGCAGATTGGATGTACGAGGCAGAGTGGCAAATGCATCTTCAGAGCAGGCTTCAACAAATCACAACACCACCTTCTCAGGACACAGAGACGGCTACCTGGGCGTGTCCGGCGTGTGAGAGTATCTTCAATACTCAATCTGCCCTCAAATGGCATGCCAGGCGTATGCATGGCATTGTGGATGAGCAGGCGACGTTTGACAAAACTTTACACTCGGTCCGAGGCCTCCCTATCTGTCGGTTCTGTGAGAAGAAGTTCAGTAGGTGGCAAACCTTGGCGGAGCACATAACCAAACGAAGGTGCCCGAAAGCAGCTCTCCAAGGAGCACATCCAACTACTGAGGCAGGTTCTTTCCCTACTACCACCACTGATGCATTGCCTCAGTCTGAAGTTGCTGTTGTGCCACCATCACCACTACCACCACGGGACAATGGACCTCCCGAAGCGACCAGCAATGATCCTGCTGAACCCCCTCGACATGCACATCTTCCACCTGAGCCGTCGCAACCTCGGCATCCCACTATCAGTACTGGTGACGTCATCCTCTGTCGGCCCCAGGTTCGTGAAGCTGCACAGCGGGGACTGAACGCACTCCTTCGACTTCCGGATGTTTTGCATTCGCTCAAGCAAACATGTGCCCTACGCGGTCAGTGGATTGCATCGCATCGTACTGTGAAGAGGCATTACCAGTATTCACATGCTGATGTTCTTGATCGGTTTAAGGGTCAGATAGAGCGACAAGTCTGCCGTGTCGCCACTGCGTGTCCCACCTGTCACTTTTGTCATGTTCGGACAAAGGACTGGCGTGCACACTTGAAACAATGCACAGTTGCATGGCAGGGATCCATTATCTGTCTGCTCTGGCAAGAGGAGTGCGGAGCCAGTACCGGCATTCGACGAGCTGGAGGACTTCTTTGGGGAGGTGAAGGCAGAGGGTCAAGCGACCAACAAGAGAAGGAAGCCGGAACCCGACAGGCCATTCCGGTCGTCAGGACAGCTGGGCCGAGCAGACCCATTAGTTCTTTCTTTGGCGCGGGCTGTGGTCCGTCAAGAGGAGGAGCTGAAAGTGCTCAAGCAGGATCATTCGATAGTGATGTGGCTACGCCCAGGGGAATACGGCATCCTCCACCACCTTTATGTGACGGCCAAAGCCTTCAAGCAGAAGCAACAGGAAAATCCGATGTGGGCCCCGGGACAACAACCATTGCGCATAGTAATGGCGATAGCTCTTTTTCGGGAGATGGAGGTCCGGGTCAACAAGGTTCTAGCAGACGAAACCTTGCAGAAGAAGGCGGCAGACATGGGTTGGCGAGATCCAGCCACGGGTTGGAGGTATCAACGATGGAACCCCTCCTTAAAACACCTGGAAGCCGACTCCTCCAGGAACCCACTGACGGATCAGCAGGTGCTCCAGGCCTTCAAGATGCTGTACACGTCCCTGGACCAGGACACGGTTACCAGGTTCTCGTGCACACGGAAGGTTACCGAAACGATGGCGAACCAAGCTACCTTCCTCATGGACATCTCGGTCCGCACACCGGCGGCCATGGAGGCATGGAAAACCATGCACATGCTTCAGGGCTGCTCTGTTCTGCAGCTCGGCGGGATGGCGTACAGAAGGGATACGTTGAAGTGCAGCCCTCTGGTGGAGAAGATCAAGGAGATGCTGCGTGGCCGTTGAGGCTTCGTCTCCAGAATCCAGGCAATCACTGCTACTTTAACTCGTTCGTTCAGGTGCTCTGCTGGCTTTTCATCGTGATCCTGATCGACTTGCCTCTTTGGGGCGTTGTGCTCAGTTCCTCAATGGCTTGAAGAATGGCTCCTTTGAGAAGTCGCATAACTTGTTGAACAACTTCCTATGGAGGCTCCTGCTCCGTGGATGGACCGATGTTCAGAGGCAGCATGATGTGATTGAGTTCGCGGCTCACATTAAGAACAAACATGAACTCGTGCTGTTTCAAGGCCAATGGGAGACGCGAAAAACTTTTGATGGGGTACCCAGTGCCATTGAAATGGGGCTCACGACTCAGCCTCTTCAGCTATACATGCCAGAACTACCTCCTGGCCTCGATGCTGCTCTCAGTGTTCAAAGGCTCATGGACCACTGGATGCATCATGATGGGGTTTCAGCACTTACTGTGGCACCCTCAGTCCTCCTTCTACAGATTGATCGCTTTCAAAATGTTCGAGGGCGTATCTCGAAGCGAATGGAGGCTGTCAACATTGGGGGCAAACTGAGAGTGCCTCTCTTCACAGGCATCGGTCTGGGTATCCGCATCATACCATACCGACTGACTGCGTACATCACTCACTTTGGGATGCACCCACAATCAGGGCACTATGTATGCACTCTGGTGCAGGAAACCGTGCACTGGCGATGCGACGATGAGCGGACAGCTGTACAGGGGAGTGCGCTGAGCTTTGAACATGCTTCCAATGTCTATATGCTCATCTATGAACAAACTGATCTTGCTTCGCATGACGTGTGACTTGTTCTGCTTATTGGCCCCAAGGGGCGGGAACAAGGGAAGCGTGCCTGAGACAGCATATGCTGTGCGCTATGGCGCCGGGGCTAAGCCTTGCTCTAGTCGTTTTCGCCGCTGGGTAGTCTCGACGACTGCTGCGATCAAAGCTACAAAAAAGCTGCTACGACGACGTCGACGACTACGACTACGACTACGACTACTACTACTACTACTACTACTACTACTACTACTACTACTACTACTACTACTACTAGGCGACAGCCTGCTCCGTGACCCCCCTCTCGCCTCTCTTGCTGCATGCGGCAACCGTCTCAGCGCATCTGTCTTTGCGCCAATGCACATTGTTTTGTTGCCCGGCTTGTTCCCATTGCATAATGCTTTCTTCTTACACAAGGTTTTCCGGTTAGATAGGGTCTTTCATTAGATAGGGTTTTCCTGTTAGATAGGGATTTACTATTGGATATGGCTTTACTTTTAGATAAGGTTTTACTACTAGATAGGGTGTTATCATTAGATAGGGTTTTACAATTGGATGCGGTCTTCCTATTAGGTAGGGTTTTAATGTTAGATACGGTTGTCCGATTAGACAGGGGCTTACTATTAGATTGGGTTTTCCTCTGACACAATGGTGAAAGGAGTTCTCTTTTCAAACGGCTTGGCTGGGCTTGGTTTGGCTTGGCTTTGCTTGGTTTGGCTTGGCTTGGTTTGGCTTGGCTTGGCTTTGGAAGTCGTCCCGCCTACCCTCTAAAGTAGCTCCTCTACAGTAGCATAATACTCCACTGCCTGCCCCTCAACAGTAGTAATAGCAGTCCACCGCCAGCCCCCTAAAATAGTAGTAGTAGTAGTAGCAGTAGTCGCCCGTCTGCTTTTCTAAAGTAAGTCGCCGGCCCGCTCCTCTAAAGTGGTCGTAGTTCTCAGCTTATTGGTGCTCTAGGGCCAGATAAGGGGTCACAGGAGCAGGCTGTCGGCTACTACTACTACTCCTACTCCTACTCCTACTCCTACTCCTACTCCTACTACTACTACTACTCCTACTACTAAGTTACTACTACTACTACTACTACTACTACTACTACTACTACTACTACTACTACTACTACTCCTGCTGCTACTACTACTACTACTACTATGTTACTACTATTACGACTACGACTACGACTGCTACGACTGCTACGACTGCTACCACTGCTACCACTGCTACCACTGCTACTGCTACTGCTACTGCTACTGTTACTGCTACTACTACTACTACTACTACTACTACTACTACTACTACTACTACTACTTCTCCTACTACTACTACTACTACTACTACTAAGGTTGCGCGCCTCCTGGCGCCTTGTAGCTTTCAGTGGTTCGACGGTGTAAATGAAATGATGGGTTTTGAGAGTGTTGAGAAATTGTAATTAAGCCAACTTCAAACAAAATACTTACTTGGGTGTACGATGAATGAAGATGACGACAAAAATGATGATTATGAGGATGATGATGAAAATGGTCAGGTTAACGATGATGTTGCAGATGGCGAGGATGATGGTTATGAAGAAGATGATGATGGTCAGGCTAAAGCGATGATGCTGAAGATGGTGAGGATGATGATTGGGTGGGGCGCGCATTGTTTTTTTCGGGCTTTTTGTGTTTGCCAGAGGCGCTGCTGCTACTGCTGCTGCTGCTACTGCTGCTACTGCTACTGCTACTGCTGCTGCTAGTGCTACCGGCGCCGGCGCTACTGTGTTACTGCTTGCGGTCAACCATGTCGTTATTAGCCCCCCCCCACCCCCCACCCCCCACCCCTAGCACAACGCCAATGCAGAAAAACAGAGGTTAACACCAGGCGCTTGGAGGGGCGCATAGCTACTGCTGCTACTACTACTACTTACTACTACAACTACTGCTACTACTGCTACTACTGCTACTGCTACTGCTACCACTACGACGACGACGACGACGACGACGACTCCTCCTCCTCCTCCTCCTCCTCCTCCTACTACTACTACTACTACTACCACGACCACCACAACTACCACTACTACTGCTACGACGACTACTACTACTACTACTACTACTACTACTACTACTCCTGCTGCTACTACTACTGCTGCTGCTACTGCTACTGCTACTGCTACTGCTCCTGCTCCTGCTCCTGCTCCTGCTCCTGCTCCTGCTCCTGCTCCTGCGCCTGCTCCTGCTCCTGCTCCTGCTCCTGCTCCTGCGCCTGCGCCTGCACCTGCGCCTGCGCCTGCGCCTGCGCCTGCGCCTGCGCCTGCGCCTGCGCCTGCGCCTGCGCCTGCGCCTGCTCCTGCTCCTGCTCCTGCTCCTGCTCCTGCTGCCTGCTGCCTGCTCCTGCTCCTGCTCCTGCTCCTGCTCCTGCTCCTGCGCCTGCGCCTGCGCCTGCGCCTGCGCCTGCGCCTGCGGCTGCTCCTGCTCCTGCTCCTGCTCCTGCTCCTGCTCCTGCTCCTGCTCCTGCTTTTGCTCCTGCTCCTGCTCCTGCTCCTGCTCCTGCTCCTGCTCCTGCTCCTGCTGCCGGGACTGCGACTGCGACTGCTACTGCTACTGCTGGTGGTTTCCGTAGCGGTAGCTGTAGTGGTACTGGTAGTGACGGTGGAAGTGTTGTCGGCAAGCTTCCGCTGTTCCGGGCCACTCCTGCAGTGTCGCAAGGATGCCAAGATCTCGAAGGGATTCGGGGTCTGGGTTTAGGGTTTCAGGGCTAGGTGCGACGAACTTTGGGGTACGGGTTGCTGTTTTTCGGGGTCTCGAAGTTCAGCAAACTTCCCTTACCCCGGTAACTTTGAGGATGTCCCACGAGTGTGGGCTTCAGAGTGTCATGTCCGCTCTGATACGGCATGCCAAATTCACGAATCTGTCACTCCTTGACGTCGCGCACTGCCGTTTAATTAGCTGTTTCGATATAGCATCCCCGTTGATGGTGAAACATGTTAATTTCTCATTTGGAATGATAAGTTTTGTATGCGGGGTAGCATGAACTCTTTGATAACCTGCATGCGAGTCTTCTGGGAATAAAGACTAAGACAACTTTCGAATCGTGATTGATCAGCCCGCATTCTTTTCTCAAACAAGAACCGGTCTGCCCAATTCAGAGACGGATGTACAGCTCACAAATACAGAACTAGAGGGGAATTACCAGGGAACGGGCACTCAACAACGTGCAAGAGGGCATCGGCTCCTTCAAGCCCACGGCGGTGTCCTGCCTTAAGGACTCGACAAAGTGGAACTCGCCCTTGTACTTGATAATTCCTTGCCGGAAACTTAGGCGTTGGACTTTGCTTTGGGGTCTGGGTCCTCTAAGTATCTTCAACTTGAGTTCATGCTGGTTCATGGCTGGTCGTATGGCTGCGGGGTTGGAGCCAAAGTTTCCTTCGCTGCCCGGAAGTCTCGCAACTCTGGTGTTCAATCATTCCTGCAGCAATGCTACCACTTTCAACAAAACACATAATGATCATCTTCCGCCTCGGCCCCTGACCTAAAACGATCGTATTTCACCTGCCTGCAACTTCGGCTCCTGTCCTGTAAGTGCCGTGGCGACTGGCGTTCAGTGCTCCCCAAATCGACTCTGAGACCCTTCTACTTACAGTAAAGCATCAACCACCCCCTTTAACTAACTGGTGTGGACCCAGAGTATGGTTAGCACAACGAGAGATCTCCATCACCGATGTGTGGTGGCTTTGCTATACATGCAACATGTTCAACATGGCTTGCTTCACATGCCGATCTCTTGGTCCTTTTCGTGCTGAGTTTAAGGTTTTGGTTTCAGGTGTAGCGGTGGGGTTGGCATGATCGAAATGACAACGGCTGGTGTTACAGTCATTTGCACTGAAGAATCTTTGACACCCCACGCTCTTTTCATCGTCTTGGCACTAGTGGAAACTGAAGACAAGCCCCAAATCTGAAGCATGTCTTCTGGTTGTACTGGGAGGCGATGGGATTGGTGATTAGGCCCCTCACATTGTTACAGCTGCGAAAGAAGCCATTACTCACCCAGCTAGGCGTCCCTCGAAGTCAATGAGATCTGCGATGGTGTGCCAGCCACCAGACTCGAACAAGTCCTTCACAAGAGCAGCAGGGCCGCTGTACGATGAGACATAGTACGAACCGCCTACCAGAAGAGGTACTGCAGGCTATGGTCTGTCTTGCTCTAGCGGGGCTGTGGGGCTGAACCAGCATGCACGGTTGTACGGCTCTGCACAACAACAATGTAGCTTTGCAAAAATAATGCCATTCTAGTCGTCTTCTCATGGTAACTGCCATTGGGCAGAAGAGCTTGCACAGCAGTCATCGACATGCAAGAGATAATTATGCTAGGGCTACTAAGGGCAACAGTCGTGGTCATCATCATCATAGTTTACAAAAGCACAATGGATATTCGCCCAAACCACGCCCTGCAGAACTAGCCCCAATCTACTACTCATGTAATTACTTTGCATTTAGGCCCTATAGCATCTCTCTTGCCTCGATGATTTGGCAATTTCGATACGTCTTGTCCTGGCAGGGCTGTGGAGGCACTCTCACCTGCGATGAAAACCTGAACCCTAAGCCCAAACCCTGCATGGCAGGACTGTGCAACTGGTGAACCCACCCTCACGTGGCTAAGACGCGATTGCTACCATTACAATTGATCTTGGCTACTACAGCGATACTTGATATCAAAGACCAGCATTACAACTTCTGTCCTTCCTATGATTGTACTTATCGTATGACTCTCACTATGAGCCGTGCTATGAATATCAGCTAGGCTACTCTGAATAAAACCAGATGTGCTACTTATCGTATGACTCTCACTATGAGCCGTGTTATGAATATCAGCTAGGCTACTCTGAATAAAATCAGATGTGCTATTCTTGTTAGTAAATATTATTGTTCTTATTGTTCTTGTTACATGGTATTTGGCATTTGTACTTGTATTCCGACTGCTACTGTTGTTATTATTGTTGTAACTGCTGTTCTGAACACATCTATATTCATGCTAACAGTACTACTACCTCCAA